ACGAGACCCGAAAAAAATCGTTTGCAAAACGTGTATGACGTCGGCCGAGCCAAGCCAAGCTGAGTTTTAGTAGTTGCCCAATTACGCATGTCTTCGAAAAAAGCCTTCAAAGTTCAAAAACAATATTTATGAGCAACTAACTGAATTTAAAACCGTTATAAGTAGCACCAATAAAACGTGCTTTGTAAAAAGTAGCAATATGTTGAGGTGAGAAAATTCTTGTTTTTTTCCAAGCGTACCCGAAATTAAGAAAAGCGGAATAAGTACGGCATGCACTAAGCGTTAGCACAATCATGCGATTTTTTGGCAATTTAGTTTAGGAATGCAACTGGTAAAAGTCTACAAGAGCGTATATTCAAGAGCTAGCGCAAATTCGCTGTAGTCATACTTATATTCTGCACCGATTATTATCGTTATTGTCTTACCGTAATCCGGTTTAGGGTCAGTTTTTCGGGCGGGTGATCGACGATAAGCGACATTTGGCTTTTCTCTATTTATGGAGGCGGTGTGTAAAGCGGCACGTGAATGGGTGTTGATGGGAACTTCCTGCGATGTTCTTGGGAGTGCTGCAGAAGAGGAAATAGAGGTGTTTCGTGATTCGGCGTACTTCTGAGCCAGATGTCTTCCTTAAATTAAAAACAAATTTATGCAAAACAAAAGAAAATAGTACAGTAGGCAAGCTGCGGAACACAGTTCTTTAATAACAAGTGGTAAAGGCAATGTACGGAGGGGAAATCAGCGTCAGATGGCAATAGCTGTACAGTAATTTCCAACACTAAGATTAACTAAAGGCTGAAAAAGTAGCGATTTAGAGCGCACTACTAGAGATCTGTAAGAGCGATATTTGTGAGCCGCCAGGACTCGTATATTTAGCACAACTGAAAGAAGTTAGTCTACATAACCGTAACGTGAGGTGGCATGGTACAGTGATATATGGGAAGTCTCTTATCGTAAAGGTCGAATCCGTCAGTTGGATAACCATCCTCTTTAGGAGCCCTTCATTCATTTCTTGGTAAACCGATACTGATACATATCACAGAACATCCGTTAGCTTTCTCCTAGACAATCCTCGAAAGAAGCAGCCATCGGCAGCTTTACCAGCGTACGGTGGGCAATGGCAAGTTTTGCCCAAGTCACTTTTCCAATGCTCAGGCTTTCAATGTTTCTAAAATTAGCCATTACATGGTTAGAAGAAGCCATAGCGCCCGATGGCAAAAATTTTTGCCAAGGTGCATCCATGTTCAGCGATGACAACGAACTTTCATTACTGGAAGCGTCAAATATTTGCTCGCTCAAAACGACTACTTCCGGCTCACGTGTCACGAACGGCAACCACTCGTGCAAATTCATTACTTTTTATCTCAAATCCGCATCATTGCAAATGCAATCCAAAAATGTTTGTGCGATGGGTTAGAATCAGCCGCAGGAACAAAGTTGGAAAAAAAGTTAAATTAATTTTTAGCAGCTGAAATTGCTAGCTTTGAATCCAGTGAATTTATTTAATTTAAGAAATCTGGCTTTATAAAAAAATTAAGACGAGTTCGAAGAATTGGTAGAGCGATGCATTTTACTACAATCGCTTCCTTCTGGATACAACTTCGCCACACTCGTCAGAGTGAGAATGAATATCGCAAAAACCTGAACGAATGCAAATTCAGCTTTGTGCAACTCCGAGACAGATGAATAGCTGACAAAATAAACTATGACCTGCTAAGAAACTGCATTAAAATTTAAGAGAGGTGTGACAAAGAACAATAAATTTGGTTGCAAGGCAAAAAATACAAAGCATTCGTCTGGTCAAGCGACGTATTTTAAAGACAGCGAAGTAGAAAAGAGAAGGGGGCACGCTTAATTCCTCAAAGTTAATCAATTCACCGACTTGAAAATAGTTAAATTGCCAACTTGAAACTAGTACTCAAACAGTGAAGTGCACTTATGTGTTTTTTGCGACAAGCTGTTGAGAGCGTGATGTGGCCTTTCACAAAGACTGATTCAACCGCATTACTTTCTGACCCATAAGCTTATGAAATGCGGTATGCGAGTCGCACTCTTAACTTCTACAAGAAATAAAGATCCTTAGTTGCGACATATTTTGAAACTGATCTTATGGTGTTGGTTAACACTAAACAACAAATCGAACAGTTTGAGTTCTAAGATCGTAAGTTCGCATTTTTTCCAGTAACAAAGCTTGCCTAAATTTTTAGCTGAGATTGCCGGCTGGAATGTTTAAAGATTGAGTAATTGAGTCTAGTTTGCTGCCCAGTAAACTATAGGGAAACACGCTTCTAGATTTTGATTTTCTATTTCCTGTAATTAAGCTGAATTATTGCTGTATAATGTATGTAAGTGTGCAGAAACTTGGAGTTACCATAATACTGTTTTACATGCAAAAGTCATTTATGTAAAAACTTATGAAAACATAAACCCAGGCTGGAACGCATCAGGCTCTCCGGTTCGATCACGAATTTTTGCACTAAACTCGCAAATCGCTATTAGCAGGAATGATCCCTACGCTGCAGCCTAACACTTGGGCTAATATTGGCCGTGCTTTGGTCCTTTCTGGCATGCAGGAGGAAAGGCATCAGTTGAGATGAAAGTGGTGCATTACAGAGCCGCACGGGCTTCAGGTGCATGATTACCGGTTTTATGCATGAAGTCTGGTCGTTTTTTCGGTAAATGCTCGCTTTGTGAAAAAATGACAAATACAAATTTTTTGAAAAAATGCAAATTTCCAGTTCACTAAAAGTGGAAGTTACTGCTCAAGCGGTCGTTTGTCAAAAAATGCACGTTCACTTACATATAGATTGCGGTTGAGGTTCGAGCTGCGAGCGAATTTTTTGAAAATATGCAAATTTTCAGTTCATTGAAAAATTAAAAGTATTGCTCGAACGGTCGTTTTTCAAAAAAACCCATGTTCATTTGCATATACAGTTGTGGTTCAGGTCCGAGTTGCTAACCATTTTTGGGTTCAGGAGCTACTTGAGGCTGTCGTTGGGGACTAGAGAGCTGAGTTTAAAATTTTTATCTCACACGTGCATAGAGAATATCCCTGCAAAGTTTCAGCTTTCTACGTTGTCTGGTTCACGAAATCGTCTCCCGCTGACAAATCTCTTTGGGAGTCCCATACGCGGAGTCCAGGCACGTATGGGAAAAGATCTTAAAACGGGAGGATGACACACGGGGTAGGAACATATATCCAAAGTTTCA